TCTTACACTGCTAAAGTAGGGACGGCTAGGGCAGATAGCCCTCGTGTAGCTTTGCGCGAAATTCAAAAAACAAACAAACACTTGAAAGATTGTATTCTATTTACTTTTTTACTTTAACTATAAAGATCATGTGGCAATGTATTATTTAAAAAGTGGTGTTAGACAGCAAAACTATGTACTTTTAATTGTTTGTTTGTTTGTAGTTAACCACAAAGCTACACAATGGGCTATCTGTGCTCTGTCCACCATGGGTATCGATATACTTCTGAGTGTATGATTTAAATTCTACAATTATTTTCTGATTAAAAATATTTGGTTTCTTTCAACTAATGGTCAATTTGTAGTCCGAAACATTAACAAAGTTATACACTCTCAAAGCCATATTTAGATTACACATTATTGACGTAGAATAATACATATATTTGGCCCCCAGTGGCACAGCGGTATGTCTGCGGACTTACAACGCTAGAAACCGGGTTTCGATACCCGTGGTGGGCAGAGCACAGATAGCCCTTGTGTAGCTTTGTGCATAATTAAAAACAAACAATACATATTTATATTTTGACATTTTTCCCAGATATCCCTTTTACATGCTTTCAAGTAACTTTACGGCCCCCCGGTGGCTCAGTGATAAGCTAAAATTCGTGTTTGATACCTGCAATGGGCAGAGCACGGATAGTTTATTGTGTAACTATGTGGTTAACAGCAAACAAACAAAGCACTTTCACATCTGGGTGATGTAAGTTCCAATGAAGGCTAGAAGCCGAAACGTTACTTGATAAAGAAACTTAATTTAGGGGTCATAGGCGTATGGAGGGGGATCAGAGGGGACTGTACAATTTTCGCCCGAATGAGGTTATGAGTAAGAAACTTCAGCTACAAGTTTGACCAAATGAAGGTAAAAAAATTGCCCCAATCGCCATATTCTCTCATTCTAATTTTGCCCGAACAAAGACTGAAAATTTGCCCGAATGGCCGTTTGTATTGCAACCTGGAGGGGGGGAGGACTCCTACGCCTATCTTTGTAGTTATAGATAATTTTTTCTGCTGCTTTATTATGAGTCAAATACTTCAGTCAGCTTTTTCATTTCTTAAGAAAGAAAGTCACTTTTACAGTTTCCCAGAAATTATACGAACATTTTTGTAGATATATATATTTAATAAACTGAACATCAGTTTTTTAAGTGTCTAAAAGTGGCTGATTGATTGTTTTGGATATGGTCTGCAGCTGATAAAAGGGGGTAAAGCTGAGCTGCAAGGAGTTAAGGAAGGTGATGTTTTAGAAGAAATTAATGGGCACAGCGCAGCCTCCTTGAGTGAAATCGAGATACACCGTCTGATCCTAAGTACTGGAAATACTTTGAACTTGTTAATTCGCAGGTAAGTGTTCAGTTTAAGCTAAGTAAGTTGCGTAAAAGTGTTACTATTTTTAAACCCAAAATATGGTACCTGGAACCATACGTCGTTGTATTTATATTTGGTTAAAGAATAACAAACAGCCCTGTCACAGAAAAATAATCTTATCCCTACCTTTTTTTTTTCCTATACAACTACAAATTTGTGACAGTTGTGCCAATTACTCAAGTTATTTAGCAGTTCGCCCCCCCCCCCCGTGGCACAGCGGTATGTCTGCGGACTTACAACGCTAGAAACCGGGTTTCGATACCCGTGGTGGGCAGAGCACAGATAGCCCATTGTGTAGCTTTGTGCTTAACTACAAACAAACGTATTTAGCAGCTCAGAGAGGAGATTCTGTTCTGGAGAAGGTATCATTTTGTTATTATTGTGAATTATAATAATGTTTCAAAGAAATTGTACTATTTCGTCAATAGGTGTCGTTACCTGTCATCATTGTTTTTTGATGTTACATGAAAGATCGTGAGAAATGAACTCGTTTTACCATAATGTTAGAAATTTGAACATCAGACCGAATCTAGATCATGAAGTAAGAGTGAATCTGATCATCTATGGGGGAATGAAGTGATTAAGAAATGAGGGTTGGGAAATCCTGTGAGGATGGATGACGCTTGAGATCGGGTTAATATTATTAACAATGTCGAGTAACTATTAGTGTCCCTCTTCAGGTTTCATGTTTAGTGAGTTTAAAAGTTTTGGATTTCATATTATCATGTACTCAAAGTCAAAGTAGGCTTAATGGTAGCATAGAATCGTAACTATGATACAGCAGTTCCTTACTGCATCTGTTTCCATGTGTATTGCTTTTTTTCGTTTTCTTTGTTGTTAAGTGCAAAGCTACACAATGGGCTATATGCGCTCTGGCCGTTACGGGGAGGCCCGGCATAGCCAGCTGGTTAGGGCGCTCGACTCGCAATCTGAGGGTCGCGGGTTCGAATCCCCGTCCCATTAAAATATGCTCGCCCTTTCAGCCGTGGGGGCGTTATAATGTGACGGTTAATCCCACTAATCGTTGGTAAATGAGTAACCCAAGATTTGGCAGTGGGTGGTGATGACTAACTGCCTTCTCTCTAGCATTACACTGCTAAATTAGGAACGGCTAGCGCAGATAGACCTCGTGTTTCTTTGCGCGAAATTCAAATCATTAACAAATTTTACAAGCTGCACAAATACCGTAGATATCTAATAATACGAGAAGATTATCGTTGTATTAATATAATTAATTTTTAGTGAATTTAGCTCTGTATATATACCTTTGATGCTTTACATTTGAACATAACGAGTATAAATACAGGGGAAGATATTTAATTCCTTCGAGTCCTCTTTATAGTTTTGCTTGTAATTTATACCATTGAAAATGATGCATTAAAAGCTTTATTTTTTTACATAATTATAAGTCTCCCTGGGGCTCAGCACTAGGTCTGAGGGCTAACGCTAAAAATCGGGTTTCGATACCCACGCTGGGCAGAGCGTAAATAGCCCATTTTGTAGCTCTGTGTTTAACAATAAACCAACAAACAATGCAAGTTATTAGTACTATTCAATAACCAATAACTTCAATACAACTGTTGTTTTGAGTGTAGAAACTACTGTAGAAGTAGTACCAGTATAGCAGTATTATTCTTAAATAATCTTCAACTTCGTGAAGTCCCCGAGTGGCCTGTCAATTCTAGATGAATCCAATAAAAAGTAATTCAACTACACAAACTGTTTTTGTTAATAATAAGATGAGATTTAGTTAAATGACATGAACAGTGTCAAAGTATTCCCATCAAGCAGAAGGAGAAAAAAAAACTTATAATTTTAATATCTAGAGCCATTTGCCATATCTTATTTAAAACATAGTTAGTACAAAGAAAGAAACGTTCACTCTGATTATAAAAAAAATCAAGTTATACATAGATAGACAAATGTACAGATAAAAAAACAACAATTAAATTAGTAGACTGTTATATCAGGTTTTCGTTATACGGCACAGAAAATGTTTTTGATAACAAGCTATTCATGCTACTACAAATTAATATATTTTACTGAAAAGAAAATCCTATTGTATTTTCTTGCAGAGAAGAAAACCAGCCAATCAGAAGTATGTTTAAATCAAGTGCAGTGATTGAAATGAAAAGAAAAATCGACGTCGCACAAGTGACAAGTAAGTCCGCCTTCATTTGCTTTGAAAACCTGCACACTCATGTCCCTAACAGCAGCAGAGAACAAAGCTATAGAACATTTAATTCGCTTTACAATTTACGAAGTTGTTTCTCTTAGATCGTTATTGAAATATAACCCCGACAAAAAAAAAAAAGCTCCTTGATTTTTGCTTATTCTTGTATACATAAAGAATTTCAATTTGATAAACTAAATACTAAGACAACACCTAGCGGGCTGTGTACAATAAACACGTGAAAATTAAAATAATCAGTATTCTATGGTACGAGGATGTTTCGAAATGAGCATTTTTAAAATTTAAAACGTTTATTTGCCTATATATATATACATTTTATATCTTAAAGTACATTATTCGTTTAATAAAGCAGATTTCGATTTTCAATAGCAGTTTTAAGCTTCTTGAATTTTTTAAAAGTTATATTTTATTTTGGAATATTATGAAACGTTTTATAACTTACCTCTTGACAAGACTAAGAAATAACAAGTAATAGTTTAAGCTAGAAAAACATTACATGTAACTCATGAAGCGATTCTTATAGAGGCCCAGGCATGGCTTGGTGGTTAAAGCACTCGACTGGCAATCTACGGATTGATGATTCGAATCCCATCACCAAACATGCTCGCTCTTTCAGCCGTGGGAGTATTATAATGTGAAGGTTAATCCCACTGTTCGTTAGTAAAAGAGTGACCAAACAGTTGGCGGTTGGTGATGTTAACTAACTGCCTTCCTTCTAGTCTATCGCTTCTAAATTAGGGATGGCTTGCGCAGGAACACCACCACAATACATCATTAATACCTAGAAACAATACATACGACCACTAGTTGAATAGGCCTAACATGCTAAACGTCTGAAAAAGAACCTACAAACGCTACAAGATTCAGTCCTTACAGCTGCTTACAAAATACCAAAAACCCTACAAGATTCAGTCTTTACAGCTGCTTACAAAATACCAAAAACCCTACAAACGCTACAAGATTCAGTCCTTACAGCTGCTTACAAAATACCAAAAACCTTACAAACGCTACAAGATTCAGT